TCTCTCCTGCAGCTTTCCTACGGAAATTCTTCACTGGGTTTAAATGCCTATAGTTGTCTGCCTCATAATTAAGTTTATACTGCATTACAAACTGTTTTTGAACGCGATTCAGGCGGGGCAACAGTGAATTTACACTGGATAACGTTTCTAGTCATCTTGTTCTTGAACATGTTGATATAATCCGACTATACCCGACTGATGAAAAAAAAACACTGAAAGCGATGAGAAATCAGATGCGAGAGCTCCATTGATTGGAAACAGTCTACGGCTTGTGACGGAAGTCAAATAAATATCAGAAATCAATATCAAACTGTGTGTTGGGCTCGAGTTTTTACATTAGATTGAATGTCTCCTACCCTCCACAATTCTGCTTGTGAATGTAACGCAGGCGGTTTTTCCCGAGTTTCTGTGGTTAGTTACTATTGCTAAGCAAGGACACCGTTGGGTTTTGGGGAAGAACCGCTATCGTTGGATCTGTAGATTTGTTTGACGCAGACTCTTTTCTGCTTGCTTGTCGAACCTATCACCCACCTGGTCAAGCGGTATACCGGGTGCAGTTCATGGCAGCTACTTGGAGCCAAATGTGGGAGCTTTCATATATTTGTTTGACGCAGACTCTTTTCCAGGTGCTTGTCGAACCTATCACCCACCTGGTCAAGCGGTATACCGGGTGCAGTTCATGGCAGCTACTTGGAGCCAAATGTGGGACAAAGCTTTCATATGGGACCAGCAGTGAATGGACTACGTGGCTTGAGATCTTACCATATAAATGGGCTTTTCCTCTCTGAACACCATACTTCATAGTTTACCGTTGATTCACATGTGCTGCACTTTCCCTCGCAATGGACTTCAAAAATTCTCGACTACTCACAAATTGTTAGTAGCGCATGATTAGCTCTCTTTTGGAGGATGCATGGTCCAGTGCCTTCGCGTTTATTCGTCTCTGACCTAGGTCTGAGACTGAGGTGCAGCTCGTGTACTGCTTCATAATGGAACGCAGAAGTAGTACCTTCGTTTTTTACCCGACTGAATTTTACACATTGGTATTCTTGTTCGTTTTCCGGGATTGGCGTTGGGACCAACCGATGACTGGGTTCATGCGTTCAGGAGGGTCATTTTCACGATAGCCTGTCAGCGACTCTGTGGCTGGATATAAGTTCTTATCATTCATCAAACTTTATTGAATCAGACAATAACCACTCATATGCTATATGCCAATTTTTAGTGAAAAGTTCCCGGTCAAAAGCTGACTTCGTCTTTTCAGGCGGAAACACACCCTCCTTCAGCTGGTTTGAATGTATAACACAACGTTCGTGGTGTGTATCAGTACCCTTCTTAAGGACGCAGTTTTGTATCGTCTTATAAGATCGTTCCTTCCGCCCCCATTTCCCAGTTCGATGCTAATTACAACTTGTGCCTGTCCACCGATTCCTTCATGATCACTTTCAGGAGGCAATGACTATATTTTCCGGCACAATGAATCAGTGCGTTCAGAGTGTGTCGGACTCTTTGGCCAAAAATCCTTCTTCTCCACCACCAGCAGCACTACAAATTACATCGCCCCTCTTAACCTCGGACGAAGTCAGTCAGTTGACGAATCAACTTCGATTGGCCATTGTTGCTGCATGTATGACCGCACAGAACCATATTGTGAATCTGGCATCCATCCGAATGAAACTTACCACCACCACCACCACATCTAAAAAGGTCCCCACAAATTCCACAAACGGGTTGGACGAGCAGCCTCCAATGGACAAGCTCAGCATCGAACAATTCATCCACCTGGCTGATGTGTTGCAACAGTTCCAGGTAAGGGCTTCGCCTGGTCGTATCAGTCAGATTATCTAGCTTATGCCCAAACCTGGCCACCGCCATGCTTTCTTCTTCTAGGCCATCCATGACGCCTACTCGTCCTGTGAGACAACGCACGCCGGTGTGAAATGATGATGTCCATCAACTACTTAACCTCACAACTTTTTTGTCTGGCACTTCTGTCGCTGAGTGTTCTGGGTTCTCATTCCATCTACTGGTAAAGACTGTGCACTTTGTTAAGCCTGACGACCCCTGACTAGAGCAATGCTGCCACTGCTAGTCCAACTGGCTTATTGTGGGTTTTAGAGGTTCCCGAAGTGGACGGCGAAATTATCCTGGCGATTTAGATTCTAACGATATAATCAAATCATACAATGACTAGATTTATGACATTCCTTAAAGCTGTAACTATGTTTATATCGGTGACTAGTTCATATGTCCGCCCCACTCCAGATCTTTCATCCAGGGATTCAGCTAAGGCTCAGTTCATCTCCCATCAACTTCAGGTTACCTGACAAGTGAATGTATAACTCCACTCACATCCATTTAGATGTTCGAGCAGGAGATAGGTTTGATGGAAACTCTGGCCCATCCAGTGAAATCCAAAATGGGCGAAACCGATTCTGGGCTTTCATCGAACTTATTCGTTGCTTGTTTCCGGCTGGTTGTCTCAGTTCAGAGGTTCACTCAGTCGAGAGCAGCGTATACTACGCTCACTTAGAGTGATCAAAGGGGTTTCCTTGTAAGAAATCAGCCTCATGAAAACAATATACCGTAATAAATTGTTTGATCACAGTGACATGCCGATATCTTCCCCCGATTAGGTAAAACTGGTCAGGCTACTGAGACCGTTGCAAATTCAGAAGCTGTTTGGAGCATCCACAATTTCATAGTCTTGGCCATTAAAGTGACACAATAATCGTCCTATCGGGAGTAAACTACGGTCAGGCTGACCACAATACACCTTAGCAATGAACTGCACGTATCCGGCGACGCGCATCCTCCAGCCATACGTCATTCGTTAGCGCACTTTGGGCTCGTTGAATGTGCACGAATTATATGTGACATTTCTTTAAAGCGTACGTATCTAACCCTTGATCGAAGTTCACAATGTGTGTTTGCACTAACAGTGTTGTGTAGATGCTTACGTCTGACAACAGTTCCCAAAAATAACTTGTGTTGCTTTCCATGGAGTGGGTTTCATTCTCGCTGATATACCAAGATGGATAGTGCGGCCGTTAGCGATCCGTTAATTGTGTAACATCTGCACCCCCCCATCAGGGCGTTTTTGGGAGGAACTAAACCTAACATAACGACCATTATAAATTGTATAGACGTAATGCACTACTCATATGGTTGATGAAAACTTTTCGCTCAAGAACGAGAGATTCAGCTGGGTTTTAGGTGGGTCTTCCGTCAAAACCAAGTTGGCGTGCAAATGAGTGTAGTTCGACCATTATAAATTCTTTTTTGAAAGCAAGTTTGTAGAGTCGCAATTCACCTAGAGCGCCAACGCCTGCATGCTGTGTCTCAATAGTAAGTTTATGGACGAGCTTGAGAAAAAAATTTGACGGACTTGCCTTCCTCCGTGTACTGATTACCACATAAGCAGATGGATATATTGTCGGAAAACTGCGGGTTTTGAAATGTGTACATTTATTGGCTGTTGATCTGTTCGCCGAGCTTGGCAATTGGCTTGCAAACGTTTCGTCACCATACGAGGAGACATCATCAGTGCGCAGTTGAGTGGGTACTTCTTCCTTGCCTGCGTGCGCTTATATAGCATTCGAGGGCTATCTGTCATCTTCTGACGTGATTGGCTACTTAAAGTGTAACAAATTTGGTGAATCTATTGGTCCATTTGTGATCTTTGTCGCGTTGTGGTCTGCGTTCCTTTGTGTCGATTGGTTATCCTCACGCCCTCTATTTTTAGTAGTTCGTTCTCTCCGGCCTCGGGTTGTATTGCGTTGTGGTCTGACGTTCTTGAGTTTGATTGGTTGCTTGTGCCGCCCTATTTCCTCCACCGTAGCGGTCAGCGTCTCTTCGTCCGTCGGTTGATTTGGTGCTTTGATTGGGCGCTTCCTCCAATCCAATTGATGTGTCCGTTTGAATGATGTTTTCCTCCTTCTCTTATGATTTCCTCGTCTGGTTGATTTTGCAGCTTTAAGCTCGGTGGTTCTGGAGTTCTCTCGCTCTTAGTGGCTGGTAAATGGGATCAATTTCGATGTGTTTGTTGATCGCCTCTTCGGTGGAGTACCATGCTTCCATAAATTCGCGTTCGTTTTTTGTTCTTGCTTGAGCCAATATGCAGACGCCGCTCCAGTCGAACTCGTGTCCTTTCTGATCTTTGTGTGCAGAGATGAGGGAGAACTGATCGTGCCTCTTGGTGGCGAGCTTGTGTTCATGTATTCTGGCTGAGAGCTTCCTTCCTGTTTGTCCTACATACCGTTTGTCGCAGTCCTTGCATTGGATCCTGTATATGAGATTGTTCTTCGCCATTGGATCTAATTTCCCTTTTGGTCTTGATAGTGTCCTCCTTAGAGTGCTCGCAGGCTTGTAAGCGACCAATATATTGTGCTGTCGTAAGAGCCTTGCCGTCATTTCAGCGGTGTTCTTGATGTACGGAAGTGTGACTCGCTTACTTGCATTTTGTCCTGTTGCATCGATCGTATTTGGCTTCCTGAGTGTTCTCCAGATTAAATTCCTCGGATATCCATTTTCCTGAAACAATCTGTATAGGCGCTTTTCTTCTTTGATCTTGGATTCTGTTGTGCTGCAGTGTGTCTCGATCCGCTTGAAAAGTGTCCGAACGCAGCTTGGTTTGTGGCAATTTGGATGCTTGCTGTGGTAGCTGAGGATTAGCTGAGGATCCTCAGCTACAACCAATAAACTCACCCGAGCTACCAATATTTCAACAAATGTGTACATTTCTTCATACGACTCTGAGGTGAACTTTCCTCTTTTAGCTCACTTGGTGTGCTCTAAAATAGCAGTTTTCGATACCTCAAGTGGCATTAAGATACACCAGTTCGACACTCAACAAGGCTTTATTCGACAATCAGACGTCGACATTTCACTGTCGGTTAGTTGATTCTGATGATGACAATGATCATGGTGAACTTGAGCATGGGTCAGTACCCCTGGGAAAACGGATAAAAAGTTAGCTGTTAACTGCTTCTGCAGAATGTTTAGAAAGTTGCATGTGTATGAGTTTTCGATTGTGTTGAGAAGCTACTCGCTGATGGCTAATGGTTTGACCACCCAGGGACCTGCTGTGGTTTTTTTTGTGGAGTGAGTGATTGTCGAGAATCATCTTCTGAAGAAAGGCATGAACTAGGTTTTGGGGTGCTCGTTCTCATATTACCAAAAGTTGCATTGTGGGCCTCTTAAGATCTATTAGTGGCAGTCCTCAAAGTTCGCTGCCCAAACTCTGTTTTGGCTCTCAAATGAACCTCTCTATTTTGGTACAATCCATCCAAAATTTCACCATTCACAGGCTGGTTCCGAATACAAGCCTAGGCTTTGACTACACTACAGCGGATAGCGTGATACAATCGTGATGTTCTGAAGGTCTTTGGGAGTCGTCACCGACAACATTCTACTCGCACAGCTTACACCACAAATCCGAATAGGATCAGCTTAGATCAAGAGAATCAGGGGTGAGGACACAACTGTCTTTGGAGTGGGGGGACGAAATGGCTTAGTGGTTTGAACGCGAATTTACTGACCAGAAGGTCCGTGGTTCAGACCCGACCTCCGCCTCCCAACTTCCCCTAGGCTTGCTTGGGAAACCTTGCAGTATCCCAGCCCTCTTGTTTCTCCTAGCTTGGCAGTAAGGCCCGAAGGTGTGCTACAGCCAACGTGGGCTCCAACAGCTACCTTGGGTTCGTCGCCGTTCGGCCAAAGCGCAGTGTTAACTCGTACTCTGTTGGATGGTAATTCTAATGCTGCCCTGCTGTCAGCTGATGTAGCAACGCGTGTAGAAGTGTCATCGGTAGATAGCTACGACATTAAGGATACCATGACCGGTAGCTTTGTGATACAGTTTTAGCTTGACTGGTGTGTTGTCAACATCGACTGTGCCCACTCTATCGGATCACTTCCCATCACTAGGGCTTCAATCCCGGATGAGTTTCCCTCCCACCAGACTCGTGCAATACTCCGAAGATATCGATGGTCAAGCACTGAAATTTCTTTGACATTCTCAGCCCTCATCGGCCAAGTTTCTGACCTATATGAAGCGTATGGTAGCATTGTTAACACGATCCTTGATGAATCAGCTGATGTCACGCCTATGCCACCGGTACTGCGGGTTCACGAAAGCTACTCTGACCTTTCCAATGCCATCTTTCGCGAGACCACCGGCACTAACACAGCTGCTCAGTTGGACAAATTTGTCTACTACCTCGATCAACTCATCCGTAAGCATGAGGTTAGGGTTGGGGTCCACCCAGTTTCGCAGCAGCGCTTCACACTTAGCAGATGTGATATATATATATATATATATATATATATATA